AGACGGACGCGTATCGCAGCCGCATCGGCGGGCAAGGCCGGCCGACAGTGGATCTCGTCAGGCTATGGGATGGAGGTTTTGCGACACTCGGAACATTGAAGTTTTATGTGAATGGGTCGGAGCTATCGTATGACGGATCGGCGGGGAGTGCGAGGAACCGGTTTGAGGCTGCTATAAAGGATGTTTTTACACGGCATCCGAAGAGGAGGAAACTATGCACTGCTGGGGATGATCCTGATGACTAGCGGCGATACATGGATGAGTGGTACGTGAGTAAAACCCTACTGATTTGCGGCTCTATATTGATACAGACTTAAAGGCTCCAACCGTTCCATTTCCGTTTCCGAATCTGAGAAAACCAAATGGAAACAATATAGAAACCGTTACAAACGGTTATAAACGGTTTGCAAACGGTAGTTTTGAGCCAGTGCGGTATCCTAGCTATATTCGGGGTACGTGGTGTCGTACTTGTCTCGTACGACATGGCTATGTTAGTGCAACAAGGATTCCCAATATGCAAGCATGATTGGTAGGCATTTTGGATGCAAGGGAGTATTGTCCAACTTTGACGTGCAAGAATCACATTACATGCCTACAATCGGGTCTGTAACTGCCACGCAATTGGGGAGAAGCCAGCCCTGGTTTTTATTAGCACTCACTACTTCTGTGCACCACTGGAGGATGTTATAGGTGGGTTAATGCCTCAATTGGGGTTGTAACTTGAGGGGGGCGCAAACCGTTTGCAAACCGTTTGTCAAGCCCCGTGAATGAAACGGAAATGAAAACGGTTTTAACCATTCGCAACCGTTTGCGAACGGAAATGATTGGAGCCTTAGATACAGTGAATTGATACAGTAGTAGAACAGTCTTCAACTCAATAGACAGTCCAATCAGTCAATGTTTCAACGTTCCAATATCCAAACCTCGAATCGCAGACTCGTCATATTCTTGAAAAAAATTCTGGTGCCAGCGGAACAGTAGTGCTGCATAATTCGTCTTCATATTGGTCCTTATCCTGCATGCCCATAATTCCCAGGGACTGCATTTCTTTATAGTGATTCATTCAGTATCTTCTCTTTTATGCATGTGTCCTGAGATTCACATTGACATTCAACTTAGCTCAATGAATTATCCATTGATCCCATCCCATCCCATCCCATCCCATCCTATAGCATAAGGATATCGACCCAGTGATGTAGTGCTCAACACACCAGCTCTTACTACGCCAGTCTGCCGACTCCTTAAGCCGGAGGTCCCCCGTTCGACTCGGGGCTGGGTTGTCACCTTTGATTTTTTTTCTCACTCATTTGCAATAATTTAAATTTGTGGATTCCCGCTACCTTTAGGTACGGGTTTCTATAGGGCGCCCTATCAAATCGTTTTGGCGGACGATCACGATTTGGTCATTTTTATTCATGTAAGCAGCATTCTGATTGGCTGGAACAAGCGCTAAAGGCTTCGGCATGTTGACGGCGGTCAGCACAACGTCAGCAACATCTCGTCGAACCGCATATTCCCTCTCCCGTTAGGTAAGGGACCTATGGGCGCCTAATTTTACTCCCCGCAAAATCACGATTTGCTCATTCCCGCTACCTTTAGGTACGGGTTTCTATGGGGCACCCAATCATTCCACTTTTTGGCAGTGGATCACATTTTCGTCATTTACTGTGTCAGCAGTTTTTTCCCTGCCAAATTGCTTCGCCATGAGAATCGGCTCAGCGTAATGCCGAGATCTGCCGGCAAGTTAGATGCCGATTAGGAGGCCTGCAGTGGGGATCAGGAGGATGGAAATATATCTGCCTGCGGCAGGTATATTTCTAGGCTGAGGCAAATATTAGTAGAATATTTGTTGTAAAGGCCTCAGAATGTTTGAGTGAATATTGTGTTGTGTGTGTGTGGGGGGGGGGGGGGGGGGCTTCGCCGAAGAGGCTGAAAGCCAAATCCCAAGGCGGCGGGAAAAGCCGGGAAAGTGGCTGGAAAATCGGATCCCGAGACGGCAAAGCCCGTACGCGAAGGCTACCAAGGGCCCGTGTGAGGAGACAGACCCCGAGCAACCAGCGCGTTAGTGCCAAAACAGAGCTGTGGTGGGTGGGAGAAAAGCAAAGAAGGATGCTTGAGAGAGCGTAGAAAACGCGTTAGGTTTTTGCTGTAGTCGGAAACGGAAGTAAAGTGATGAGGCGGCTGTGCCGCTGTCAAACAGAATTCACACGCGGTATCTAATCTTATCTAATCTTATCTAACTTGCCTTCCACTCAGGCCGGCTCGCAAGCCCGCCTCACCTGAGCTCGCACCATGTGTAGTAAAGCAGCTTACTCTCAACCCTCAACCCCTATTCGACAAGGCGAACATAAAAACCGGTACAAAACTTTTGGGCCGATGCAAGAATAAACTAACTGGGGTCAGGCTACCAGTATACAAATGATTCAGAGACTATGAACTGAAGTTGACGAGAAATATCTTGCTGCCAGCTGCTAATTCAATCTTTACAGCCACTGTCTGTGAAAGGCTCCGAGTCAAGTAAGCATAAAGTAAACATGGAAACCATGGTTTGCACTGGCCAAAGAGATGCATGATACCAGACCGAAAGAGGTTGTCTCTTCAAAAATAATTAGTAAATACCAGCCTTCAGTTGAAGGGTCGCCGCCCCGGGCCAATGGTGCAATTTGGGTGAAATGGACTAAATGAAGTGCATTTATTTTTTAGGAATCATATGGACACATGTTGTTACTGGACAGACTTTCTGAACCAACTCCACTTACACCGGACTGATTTCCCGATCAGCATTTTCCCTTGGCCTCAGTTTTTGGCTTCCAGCAACTCGGGTGGGTTATAATTAGCTACTTTTAAAAAAATACCAGTGGCTAATTCAAGCCAACTTGGGTCTTGAGTCTTGATCTTCTATACTCTGCCAATTTGTACCGCCGGGGATTTTGTCCATATCTACAATCAACTCAACCTCACTTGCTCACTGATTCAATTTTATCTTGCCATGTAACCCAACGGATTCAACCATGCATCTAGTTGCAAGTCCCGCTGAAACAAAGTTCGCTGGGACCACTTCTACTGATATACTGTTGAACACCACACCTTCAACTCGTCTGTCACTGATACAAACCTATTTTCGCTGTACTTCACACAGTTATTGGCTGAATACTACAACCGAAATTTACTGCAGCACCTGCAATGGTATGCGTGTCAACAGAAACATCAAGTTAGGAAATCCCACAATTAGTGTAAGATCTATCAGTTGATTATTGAAGTCCAGGCGAGAGGAAAGCTTCGTTTTAGTGCTCTATTCAAACAACATAGAACCACAACAATTCGGGAATAGCTGATTCCGAGCTAAGCAAATATTATCTTAATTCTTTCCTAAATATCCTGTGGCATGAAAGTTGATGTCCTCGCCTTGAAGCGACTGAAGTAAGGGTGCTAACAATTTTAAAAGACCTTGTGACTGAACTTCTCAAATCGGAAAGTGAGATTGAATCAGTCAAGGAACCGAAACGAAAATTGGGTTGAATCAATCCCACCGTGCCAAAAATTTGGTTGGGTAAATAGATTCGAGCGTGAAACTTAAAGCTTAAAGGTTAAATTATCAATAAATTACTGAGTAAAAAATCGAATCAATCGGTATTTAATATTAGATCAGTAGAAATTACTACACGTGCACTCGCCAAGTTGAACGAATAACGGAGAAATGTGGGTCCCGCAAATGTGCCCGGTAAAAACTGGTTTTGTGTTGTGCACTTATATTGGTAGCGGGCTGTGCCGCTCGTCGGCCTTACCGGGCTTATCACAGTGGTACTCAGGCTCAATAATCCACAGCCATATCACTTCTCTCCCATCCCATCTGATCCAAAAGCATAAGGATATCAACCCAGTGGTGTAATGCTCAACGCACCAGCTCTTACTATGGTACAGGTCTGTCAACTCCTTAAACTGGAGGTCCCCGTTCGACTCGGGGCTGGGTCATCCGAAAACTTTTATCAACGTGCACATGGCTTGGAACTATGATATTAGGATGACACCCAGCTCACACACCAGCTGTTAATAAGGTAATTGAGAATAGCTGTAGGCTGGAGCTTCCCGTTCGACTCGGGGCTGGGTCAACCTGTCATTTTTTTTTTCAACTTGTAGTTATTTCGACATTTGTGACCCGCACATGGCTTATAATTATAGAAGTAGGAAGACCCAGTGGTGTAACGCTCAAAACACCAGCTTCTACTACGCAGGAGCTCACCGTATCAGGGTATGCTGGAGAACCCCGTTCGACTCGGGGCTGGGTCATCCGTTTGGTCTTCCTTTCTTTTTTTGCGATTTTTTTGAATACTTCGCAGCTATTTCAACGGCTTATAACTTTGATATTATAATGTCATAGGAAGACTCAGTGATGTAACACTCAACACACCAGCTTTCACGGGAGAACTCGTGCTGTTGATGTAATCTGGAGCTCCCCGTTTGACTGAGCGACGGGCCAACCTGTCTTTTTTTTTCAACTTGTTGGACCGAACCAAGGCAAGGTAATCGTGTAAGCTGGAGTTCCCCGTTCGACGGGGGGACTAGGTCACCCCGAATCCAGGTTTTTCCCCCTTTCTGGCATGCAATTATTTCGCCTTTGTTTCTCTCATGATGATTTAAATTTGGGACAATGGTATTACAATAGGATCTATTGGTGTAATGGTAACACAGCAGCTTTCGTTATCACAGGAATCGGGAATGTATGCTGCGGCTCTCCGTTCGACTCGGGGCTGGGTCATCCTGTTTTTTTTTCAACTTGTATTTATTCGACATTTGGACCCGGATATGGCTTGAAACAGCAGTATTCGAATAAGACTCAGTGGTGTAATGCTCAACACACCAGCTCACTATGAGGTCTTAGTGTTAATGCAGTAAGCTGGAGTTCCCCGTTCGACTCGGGGCTGGGTCATCCCATATTTCTTTTCAACTTGTATTTATTCAACTGCTCAGAGTCATAGCTCGCAATTCTAATGTCACTGCATGACCCAGTGGTATAATGGTTAACACACCAGCTCTTACTAGCGAGGATCCACATTGAGTATGCTGGAGCTTCCCGTTTGACTCAGGGCTGGGTCATCCTAAATCTAGGTTTCTTTTTTCAACTTGTATTTATTTCGACCTTTTGGACCCGCCCATAGTGAAACTGCAGTATTAGAATAAGACTCAGTGGTGTAATGCTCAACGCACCAGCTCACTATAATGTCTGTTACTATGGTAAGCTGGAGTTCCCCGTTCGACTCGGGGCTAGGTCATCCCATCTTTTTCTATTTATTTCAATGTTGGACCTGCTCATGATAACTTGGAACAATGGTATTGTAGTAAGACCCAGTGGTGTAATGGTAACACAGCAGCTTTCATTTGCATAGGAATTTGAAGCGTATGCTGCAGTTCCCTGTTCGACTCGGGGTTGGATCACCTTGTCTTTTTTTTACTTTTCAACTTGTATTTATTTCGATATTGGACTCGCTCGTGATGATTTGTGATTATGCTCATCGAATAGGACTTAGTGGTGTAATGGTAACACACCAGCTGCGATTAGGGCCAAGTAGTTGTGTTACGCTGGAGCTCCCCGTTCGACTCGGGGTTGGGTCATCCCATTTTTCCCCCACTTATATTTATTCAACTGCTCATAGCTCGCAATCTTAATACAATTGTCGAGTTAGTAGTGTAACGGTTAACACACCAGGTGTTGCTAGTAGCGATTCGCGTACGTATGCTGGAGTTCCCTGTTCGACTCGGGGCTGGGTCATCATTCTCTCTTTTTTTTCAACTTTTTTTCTTCAATGTTGAACCCCACAAATGGCTTGGACCTGTGACTCTAGAATGATGTTGTAATGGTAAAAAGCTGTTACTCTGGTAGCCGTACGTTGGACCTCCCCGTTCGACTCGGGGCTGGGTCAAACTTTTATTTAGTCGACTTGTATTTATTTCGACTTGGTTTTACTACTCATGACTCGCAGATTATGAAGTCATAACAGGACCCAGTGGTGTAACGGTAACACACCGGCTGTTATTGGGGATGCGTCAACAATTATACTGGAGCTTCCTGTTTGACTCGGGGCTGGGTCATCATCTCATTTTTTTTCGATATTGGACTCGCCCGTGGTGATTTGTAATTATACTGACAGAATACGACCTAGTGGTGTAATGGCAACGCACCAGCTGCGAATAGAGTGCGGCTACACGACGTTATGCTGGAGTTCCCCGTTCGATTCAGGGCCGGGTCGACGTTTTTTCCTAATTTTTTTCTTTACTATTCTGCAATTACTCGACTGCTCATAACTCGGAATTCTAGTTCTGCAATAAGACCCAGTGGTATAACGCTCAACACATCAGCTTCATTTGGCTGCCAGGAGATCACACATATAAGCTGGAGCCCCCCGGGCTCGTTCGACTCGGGGCTGGGTCATCCCACTTTTTTTCTTCTTCGTATAATCCTTTTCTTTTTCAAATTTTGCGATGTTCATTTCCGACCGCACACGATTCATCGCATGTCCGGACCCGTCCGCACATGATTCATCGCATGTCCGGACCCGTCCGCACATGATTCTTCGATATTCAGCAACGACCCACGCGAACAACGAACGAGCACCAGCAAATAACAATAATATATATATCGATTGCAACTGCAATTCCTGTAGCGTAGAGCGTATATGGTGGGTGGCGAGTACAGCTGGTAAGTATGAGTGGATGCGCGGGAGGGAGGGATGAGTGAATGCGAGGGAGGGGAAGGAATAAACATGCACGGATAAAGATACGACGTACGACGCGCGCCCGCCGCACGGGGACGCCCGCACCCAGAACCCAGAGGAAAGGATGTGTATGAGGCCGACGTTCACTCCAGCCCCAATGCCCACGCGCTCTGCTGGCGCTCCTCCAGCTCGCGTATCCTCCGCTTCACCGCCGCCGCCTCCTTCCCGCCCTTGCTCCCCACACCGATGCGCTCCAGCTGCGTCTGCGCCTGACGCAGCTCGGCCGCGAGGTACGCCTGGCGCGCGGCGGGCGAGGACCCAGCGCCGGGCTCCGCGGCCGGGGCCACGGCGCCCGCGAACGGCTGGGGCCACGCACCGCCGTTACCGGCATTGCCGGTGTTATGATTATTGCTGTTATTGTTATTCGTGCTGCTCATGGGCGGGTACCCCGCCAGCTCGACTGCATCGCGGTCCATCTCTGACGGCTGCGGCGGCGGCGGCGCTGGTGTTTTGAATGTGGATGATGCGGATGCAGGCGCGGGCCCGCCGCCGAGGGTGCGGGGCGGCTGGGCCTTGAGCTGCCGCTCGCGCCGGCGCGCGCGGCGTAGGAAGAGGAGGCGGACGAGGACGAGGGCGACGATGCCTGCAATGACGGCGATGGAGACGCCGACGATGAGCCCCACGGGCGCGTCGTGCTCGTCGTCCGACTTGAGGTGCGGATGACCCGTCGCCTTACTGTTCCAACTTTATTAGTTGCCAAGAAGACTTGTCAAAAATGAAGAACAGACGCGGGCGCATCTGTCTCGATTGCGGTGTCGGGTGCCTTGTCCGTGGGCGGGAGGTCGACGGTGCGCGCGACGGGCGGCTCGGTCAGAATCATGGCGGGCGCGGTTCAGGGACTCAGCCCGAGGTCAGGACGCAGAGGAGGGTCCAGGAGGGTGCAAGGCTAGGGAGAGATCTACACGGATGGCGTGACAACGCCCATGAGAATCTCTTGGCAACAAGGCCAATCAACGCCGTTGCACAGCAGCTGCAAATAAACATCATCTTCAACGTCCATCCATCACGGGAGATCATCATGATGATCTCTCGTGATTCGTTCCACTGGTTCCAGCGCATCTCCCTTCTTCTGGATTTGTCTAGTATTGCTCGCTCACCACTTAGGGCAACCTACGCCTCGTTCGAATAGCCAACGCGTACGTATCTCCAACGATCCCCGTCCTGCCCGCCCGGCCCTTGCCCGGCCCCATTCCGCCCGCATCGATTGCATGTATGTAAATAAGTCCAGATACACTGACAGGTCGCCTATCCATGGACACCGCCCTTGTACCTCCGGCGTCTTAAAAAAATCCCTCACCGTCCTGGCCTGCCGCCTATTCTTAGCAGGCAGTTTTCCCAGTTCCGCGCGCGTCGCTGCATCCTTAGCGCCGTCATCTCACGTTCAAACGCTGGCTGCGCGTCTCGTCCAATATATTATGTGGGTGCGCCTCCCGCAGATATGTACAGGATTTATGGCACACTTCCCCACCCTTCCGCAACATAACATAATATCCAGCGAGTCAGTCTCCCGGCTCTACCTACACACATCAGTGCACCCAAATAAGTACCCACGTTCCCGCCTCGCTTCCTTCGTTCCCGTCACTGACACTGACATTGACATCCGCCAACAGACCGTTGAGCCCGGTAAGCGCGCGATACATCATACAAATCCAAGTCCCAAATATTTATGTGATGTGATGTGACTCACCCTCGTCGTCCTCCGGAGCCGTCTTTGAATGTTACAGTTTTGAACGCGCTGATGGTTGGATAGTGATCAAACGCGCCTCTTTTTTGGTTGGTTGAATAGCGATCACCACCCCTGCATAACCGTACGAATAGACGGCCGCACTGGCACGAAATTGATGTACGGGCGGGCGATACGAGGCGGAGCATATGCACATCCCATATACATTAACAAATATTAAATTATCCGCACGCATGTTTAATATTTTATCCATCTAGTCACCCACTCCATAGCTCGCCGCTCTGATAAATAAAAATACAGACTTGTGTCCCATATACCCGGGGCTGAAGGGAGGGAATGGTAGCGTATTAGTAACCGCACGAAATATACATACATACTCGCCTGTGCAGACGCTGGTCAGTCAATATTCTCGCGGCGAACCTTGTAACTAACAGCGTGGCATCGGACAGCATTTATTTTTTAAAGGACCCCGCTCAACGCGAGCGTACTTCATGTATATACGACATCGAGTCGCGTTATTAGTATGGCCATCTGGACAGCAGGTCGACCCTTGGGAACACAACGAACAGAAACTGCACCAATACTCCTAAATCTACCACCACCACTAAGGTTGATTAACATACAGTAGTAGCTATAGGAAATATGAACCAAAAACAAAAATTAAAAAGCGAAAATAAAGGAAAATAAAGACCCAGCCCCGAATCGAACAGGAATCACCAGCTCATTTCAATCTGCCATTTTACCTACTTAATGCCAACCGGAGTGTTACCGTTACACCACTAAGTCCTTCAAGGTTTATCCCAACATCAACTAGTGAGGATGGTTTTGAGGCGGAAAGAACTACACTACACGCCCGTATGAAAATCAAAGTGGCAATACTTAGACGAATTCCAGTTTTTTCTTTTTCTTTTGGCCATCGGTATACATATTTAGCTGGATTCGCACACACCTATATTCAGCGAAGCGTTAGCCATTGCACCACTGCATATATGTAATCAACTGCTCACGAAATTGAAAAAGGGAAGAAAAGACAATGGCCCAGCCCCGAGTCGAACGGGGATCGCCAGCTCATCCTGGATCAATTCTTAATACAAGTTGGAGTGTTTCCATTACACCACTGAGTCCTTCTCATTATAAGTTTATCTCTATATCATGTAGTGTGAGGTGGAAACAAGAAGAGGAGTCCCCGGAGATGAGTGAATTCCAGCCGAAGTATTCATTTATTTTCGTGTCGGTATACACGTTCAGACGTCATGGGACTTGTGTATATTCAGCGAGGGTGGCATGGAGCGTCAACCTCACGAAAATCGAAATGAAAAATTAAACAAAAGGAAATCAAAAAGAAAAGAGTGGCCCAGCCCCGAGTCAAACAGGGATCGCTAACCTAGCTGCAACAATAATGCGCCTTGAATTCAAGCTAGCATGTTTGCGTTATACCACTGATTCAGAGTCCTTTCAAACTCTGGATAAATCATTGATAATTTATGAGAAATGGAATAAAAGCAAAATAAATAAATGACGCAGCCCAGAGTCGAACAGGGATCGCCAGCTTAACCATCACTTGAACAACATAATACAAGCTAGAGTGTTACCGCCACACCACTGAGTCCTTCTGCACTACACAGTGCGGACACTTTTGAAACGGAAACAAGAAGGAAAACAAGTTTCGAAATATTCATTTTTCTCCGTCACCATTATGCATGTATATCCAGACGCTGCCAATTACTGGCAGTGCCATTTTGCAAACAAATCAACTGCTCACGAAATCGAAATATTAAACAAAGGGAAGTCGAGAAAATAACTGACCTAGCCCTGAATCAAACAGGGATTACCAGCTTATCTGATTCCCTCCCGGCACTACAAGTTAGCATGTTTCCATTACACCACTGAGTCCATACATCATCCCCTTCACCAATAATAATTAGTTGATAATTAGAATCATCTGCTCCGAAATTAAAATGAAAAGGGAAGTCTAGAAAAATGATGACCTAGCCCCGAGTCAAACGAGGATCACCAGCTTAGACATTATCAGGTTCACCGTAATACACGGTGGAGTGTTTCCGCTACACCACTGAGTCCTTCTGCAATTGTCTGAACATTACTTGGGCTTGAGCCACTGCGTGCGCATGGCAACGAGTCCGGTGCGCCTTCGGCGCCAAAAATAAAAATACATCCGGGGTCCACTTTTCTTGCTCGATTCACCTGTCGGCTGCATCGACTTTTTTATTCAGTTGATATTTCGATTTTTATTCAAAATTTCGCGTTCCCGCCGCCCCTTCATTGTATCCTCGACGCCCAGCTGTGCTTGGAACCCCCTGACATAATATCCAAGATTTTAGTCCCAACCACTCGCGGTTTATTCAGCATTTTGCAGACCCGCGAACTGATTTCAAGCTGCAACGCGCCCGAACCTCTTCATTCAAGCCCCGTGCATCGTAATCCGAACAGATCCTGCACGACTTTCACCTCAAATTTTTTTCTAAAGTATTCAAATTGAACTAACCAGGTACATGTTATTTTAATTCCGCAACGCTCCGTATATTGCCTCATTAGTCCTCCCATTTTTCATCTTGATTGAAAGATCCAATGTAATATAGAGCAATCCGGCATTGAACATAACCAAAAAAATATGCATGATGGTCCGAATCATAATGTTCGATTGGTTGAACCCTTTCAAATGAACAGCATTGTGTGCAATCAAGGCATGTTTGAACTCATAATTGGACATGTTCATCAATGTATTGCAGCAGTCTCTATGGCTGCCAAATATGTGATGGCCCACCAAATTCACTTAAAAATGATGACTGCATATCCTAACTATAGTCAAGATTGCTACAAACCTTGGGGAATTCAGTTCAGTTGGGACCACATCAGCGAAACTTTGATCTCCGGTTGTCCCAGATCTGTGGCTTCACTCAGACCTCGACATATCCGCCGGGAGGGACATTAGGGATATTGGGTGTGCATGAGATGACTGGAATTGGATGCCTGACACTTCTCCTTGCTGATTTTTTATCCTGCTAGACGAAGAATATTGCCCATGAGGGATAGATACGGGGATGTGGGCAGAGCCACTAACATCTTGCTCAAGAGTATTGCATAGCAAGTTGTCAAACAGCGTCGAATATGTGGGATGTGATAAAAAGGTACAGTGTAAATACCAAAGGCCCTCTGGGCATCCCTGGTACCTGGATCATGACGAAACTCCAGTATCTCATAACTTTACAAATATTTGTTGAGTGATGTTTGATCCATTAATTAAATTCTCCAACTATCTACCACGTGGATATTTACTGATGTCGTGCACTGCGCCAACCGATGTCTTGCAAACGCGCTTCCTCAATATCCGGAAGGGATTTCTCAAGTACATCAATTATGTCAGATTGGCGGGAGACACGTGAAATTGGCGAAACACTGCAGGAGATGTGTCATTTTGGTGAATCGCGCGTCAACACATGCCAAGTACGTGCCTTCAACCGAGTCGCGAGGGGACAGAAGAATCACGGAAATGACGCGCCAAGTTCCTAGACAGTTGCACACAATCAGCAGCTTCAAATTTTGAATTCCTCGTACAGGGCAAATTGTCAGAAGGAGTTCCAAGACATCAAGTTTGAGTTTTTTGGCCCCGCGATTCCAAGAGGCAGGCGAAAATTTATACGTAACTTCCGACCTCAAAATCCATTTTTCGTTCTCCGAGACCTTCTAGTGCCCTCATTTGATGGTGCTTTCGGCATTGCTTTAGCACCCTCAGTTGTTAGACATTTCTGGTTTTTCATTGACCTACCTTCCCACTTCTGCGCTCTAGCCACCTATAGTAGATGTGCCTTCTCCGGATCTCCCGCGTGCAGAGCAAGAGACTGTTTTTGATGATTTCCTTATGATCGAGAAATGGAGACACTGAGTCCCCGCTTGGCGACTTTCTTGTGGGCAGTCTATGCTGATTTGGTGTCCAGTGATCAAAGAGAATCAACGGTGGTTGAGAATTGGCTCTTCAGTCCTGTCTAAAGTAAAAAAATGCTTGTCTGAGGTAATCCCGGACCGAAACAGAGGTTGATATTCCGGAATCTATTCCTCCCAGCCTCTTGCACGAAGCAGGCCAGAATAACATCCTCCGAATCAACAAAATGGCGAGCCTGTTTGAATTTTGCACCGGCTTTTGAGCCGGGAGGTCGCAAAAATTTGAGTTTGAGATTGCAGCATTAAAGTCTTGAAGAAGGGGTCGCGAGAAGGCAATGTTACAAGAACGCAGGAATTGGGACGCGCATTGGACGTAGGTGCCACAATTTGAGCACAACTCGCAATGAAGTCAGTTTTACAATACCTCGGCGCAGGAAATAGAACAAGAAATAGTGACATAGCCTAGCTTTTTTATCTTCTAATGATTGATGTTATATATGGTTCAAACTGTAAGCAACAGACGGGATTTTACACGTGCAATGCCCAAAAATTGAGAACTTGATCCCAGGAAAATATAATTAAGAGTGAACAGAGAATGAGTGACAGAATGAAGTATAGCGCTCACGGGATGCCCAAAAATTGAATAAAAATCCTAGTGAGGACTCGCTAGATGGGACTTCAAGTGAAGGGATTAGAATCCCAGGAGTCAGCGGGAAGTCCAAAATGTAATGGAAATTCAAGAGGATCGCCAGAATACGGGAGGTTGGTTGCTGTAAGAAGCCAGCTGGGAAGCATCAAATAAGTGAGTACTCACTTGCTCGCTGGACGCCTAAAAAGCGAAAAATGACTTGCCGCTAGTTGTTAAGTGAGTTTTTGTTACATCCCAAGCGTTGATTCGAAATTTCCAACACCAATATTTGTGCCGTAATAGGTGAGGACAGGTCCTTTTTTTTTTGCGGACGTGGATATGTGCGGGTGGGTGGACATCTAGTCTGAGCTTCACCCACAGTCTTTATTGAGCAGGCTCGGCGGCCTTGCACATGAGAAGTAGATTCAAAGGGATCACTGAGCGGAGAGTCGAGACTTTACATGGTTGAAATTGAGTGAGGTTGGGAATCAACCCGATCACGGGAGTTGCCACAAGGGAGCATAGAAGGCTATAGAAGGGTTAGGATAGACATGCACAAGTAGACGCTTCAAAGGTGGCCCCCCTGGGATGGATAGGTGTCTGATGAGCAAAGGCAAAAGAGGTATTAATTGCGGAAACCGATTACGTTTCATCAGTTCGAAATCAGCGCGATCACGGATTCAGCCGCAGGACGAGCACCAACTTTCTGTCCGTTAAAGACCCAATGTTACGGTTGCTAGGGGATGTACTAGATCACAAAATTCGCATTAAGACTTTCAGACCTGGTAGCCTACATCGGTACCAGGAAAATGAAAAATGAATGCTCTAAGTGGACTGCTAGATACAGACGATAGATTTGAGATTTGGGCCTCTCTTTTATTTTATTTGATGAAGCGTATTTTTTGATAATTTACTCCAAGTAGCAGAGCTGCCGCCACGACGAGCCGGACACGGCTGGCCGACGAGCAGCTGCATCGGCAGATGAATCGGCCGGTGCCCAACTCGCCTCGCTTGCACTGTACACGAAGGGGCAGTAAACAGACACATGAGAGTTACAAAGGGACACCATGTATAAGTTAAATAGCAGCAGTCCCGAGGACATCCACCGCCTGGCGCATGAGGCGCACCGAGTCGGCATCCCGCACCTGTCTGCAACGTCGCGCATGATCGCCGCAATCACCGCGCTTGATGACGACGACGGTCTGCACCGCGCGCCGCTGGTCCGTGATGCCGATGGCAAAGCGGTCGGGGTTGCAGATCTGGAGGGCGGAGGGGAGGGGCGTACATGACGGGGTGTATGAGATCAAGGAGGGTGTGTACGACGAGGCGCCGTTGCACTTGCACGGAGGTGTATATTAGTTAGCTGAAAGTAAGTAACAAGAGTACTTAAGACTCGACACGCACTCTAACTGCTACACCTAAGCCCTGGTCCATCACTAGGCTCGATCCAGCCTCTATAGCGGACCACGCACTTGGAAGATAGTCGTTCACAAGTGCTATGCTATAGAGGCTGGAGTTTGATAAGCGTAGCGAGTACGAAGTGCCTCGGAGTTTGAAAAAAAAGATGGCCGTTGGAAGCCACCGCTTAAAGCATCGCCTTCATCAGTGATGGCACCCAATGGGGCTGGGGCAAATACGCGACGACGACGCGCTCATTACGAGTCCTATTTATAGGAACTCGTTCTTGGTAATCTTTCACTGCGAAAAAATCGTCACCGGTACAAGTTTGATCTGAAACGTGATGTGAAATCTCGCCTTCTCACGTGGGCGTTTTTCAGAGGGCCTCTTGTCCAGTTTTTCTCTGAAACGTGATGTGAATTTTCTAGAGCCGGTCTCGGCTGCTCGGTAATCTCGCCATTTTTTTGGGGATTCTCTTTTGAAGCACTGTGTAAAAATATCCGATAAGTAAGAGAATCCAGTATTACCGTGTATATTTCTGTCTGTGTTTTGTGCTTTCAAATTGCAATGCACGCCGTTTACAGACCACTGTGGCTCAGGAGGCTTCCGGGCCGCTATACATCATCTGATTCATCTTGGCATCTCTTTCCCACGTCACGGAGATCAAAGCGCCAACTGCTCGCTTGCTCGCTCGTAGCTCGCTCTCTTCGAGTCTATCGTCTCTCCTCCACTAACTTGCCGACTCAAAACAACCCAGGTACATATGCCATTCCTTCTTTCGCAGAGTCTGGCCCTTACTTGTCCTCAGATATGCGTGTTACCATATACACTGAAGTGGAGCCTCCTGGTACTTTCGCCGCTTTTTCAGCTTTCTTGCATCCAATCCGACTCTCCACAGAACAGCGTCCCTGTCCTCCCTTACCTCTTGAAGGTCCCATCCTCCTGAAGATGGTCCCTGATGTGTTCCACA